TTAATTTCTTCAAAACCTTTTTGTAAATCCAAAAGCTGTTAATTTTGCGGAGTGTTTAGTCACGTTCTTCTGTGGTCATGGCGCCGTTTTCGGTCTTTGAACTGTCACCTCTTGGGACACTTGACAACTGTTGGCACATTTCACAGAGGCAATAGTATCCAAAGACTTTGACCTTGGTATTTCTTGGACTAATTGGCTTGTATCCTGAAGCTTGAACCAATCTTCAGACAAGTGACTAGAACTGTGTTGATGCCTCAGGCCACTTTTTGTATGGATTACTGCAGCCGTTATTACGATGGACGAGGATTGTGAACCTCGTGGAGCATGAAAAAACTGGCTTTTAATAGTATGACGATTGGGAGCTGACAATGATCGTTTGAGGAATATTTCACGACGGCCCTCATAAACGCAATCTGAATCCAAAGCTAGGTCGCATGATGCAGCTCGTTTGAAGCGGAACTGTTCCATCACTTGCTTTGCTTGTTGTCGTTCTTCGACAGGTTTTAGTGAACCGAGCCGATCTTTTCGTCTGCTGAACCGGGCCGCACCCACTGCTGGCTGACTTGCTTCTAGTTTTCTAACTCGTAACAGCTCTAGCACAGCTTTTCTAAAACGGCGGTCTCTATAGAAGTAAATCAGTGGATTTGCTAGAGAGTTCAATTGAACCAATGTCTCGGCTAAGAGAAAAGCGTTACTCGTACGAAGAACTGGGAAAATATCTGGCAAGGCGCCGATCACAATCACTGGAACAAACGAGAGAATCAGAGCAGCGGTTATCAAACCAGTTGTCTTGGCGACTTTTATTTCCTGCTTCGCTTTTACTAGAGCAGTAACTTGGCTGATTTCCGCTATTTTACGTTTGCGCACTCCAAGATAAACCATAATATAAAAATATCCAATGGCTGCTAAACATGATGCTCCCACAACACTCTCACCGATATGCCAGATTTCTTTTATCTTCTGGTCCACACCAACCATTAGCATGACAAGAGGCGGAAACGATGTAAAAGCTGCTAACAGCCAGGCCATTATTACAAGTTTTTTTATGCGGCCTCTTGTAACGGTAACCTTGTAGTCAATCCACTTTCGTATCGCCACATACCTTTCCCAAGCAATGAATGTCAAATGATACAGAGATGACAAGATTAAAGTAAACATGGAGAATTCAGTTGCTATACGTAGGGTACAAAAACCAGAGTAAAACAGCTGGTGGCTAATTAATATATTTGTAGCGATATTTAGAGGCATAGATACTGCGCCAACTAGAAGATCTGTAATTGCTATGCTAGATAACAGTATGGCGGATGTTTTCTTCAGCTCTCTCTTTTGCTGAAAGGCTAAGACCACCAGGGCGTTTAAAACAATGACGGAGAGAGCAGCAATTATTGTGACTGGAATTACTATCGAAGGTAACGTCGTTTCGTTTAAATCCCATGTGAAGTTTGATGCTTGTGGACAACGAATCACTGACCTTGTATTGCTGGAAGGAATGGTGGTTGTTTCTGTATCATTCATGGCTATTTTGACGCAGAGTGGACGACGTTGGAGAAGCAAGGAATTTTACGTCTTTGGTCGGGGAATGCGCTGTAATACTAGCTACTCTGCTTTCGTGCGATATCCTTTTATGTCACAATTCGCTTTACTTGAACAAGGGAAGTTCACTTGAAGCTTCTAATATTTATGTTAAGCTTAGTTTCACTGCTGAAGGACAAACACCCGGAAAAGTAGACAACAGGAAAACGCAGGATTAGAAGAAAAAGACGCTTAAAAATTTCGGCTCAAGTCATAATAGGTTGATCGGAACTAATTAACTCACTTTATGGATCAGTGTAAAAAATGGACAATGAAATATTAAACGCAATAGAGAGAAGTATTCACCTACGCCTATTAGCAAATAATTCCTCTTCCTCTCTTGTAAATGTGTTTTGTATTTGAGACTAATTAGTTTGCCAAGGAAGAAAAACCTTGATGGAGAAACGTTTCTGAAGTATGAGATTAAGGTAATGCGGCCCGGAAAAGTGCTTAAGAAAGAAATATAGAGAAGCTTTTAATTTGTACACGGAAGTGTCGCTTAATTTGTGTATTTAAATATTTAAAATAAACTTGCTTCTCACTGTGTTTAAAAGTACCTCTTATTGATATCAATTTAATAAAAAAAAACAGTGGCGGATCCAGACCTTGAGCTAAGGGGGGTCCAGTTTTGTTTTGCTTGCCCTGCTGGCTTTTCTTCCTTCTGTGATTTCTTCTTCTTTTGCCCAAAACAAGGTACTTCTTATAAATATCAAATTAAAAAAGGAATGGTGGTTGTTTCTAGTTATCATTCATGGCTATTGACGTAGAGTGGACGACGTTGGATCAGTAAGGAATTTTGAGTCTTAGTTGAGCATCGCGCTGTAATACTAACCAGTTATGGAGAAAAATGGCCCTTTCCTTCTATGAGACACGCCTGCAGGGAATTATGGTAGCTGTATTCGTCAAGTCCAGTCCAAGTCCGGTCCAAGTCCAGCCAAGTCCAGACCAAGTCAAGTCCATTCCAGTTTGTCCAGGTGCCAGATGGCGGACGACTTGAGAGGAAAGGAAAAGTCGCTTTCGAAAGGACGAAGTGGTGGCATTACTTGTTGGGTTACCGAATGCTGCAACAATTCAAGGAGAAACGCTGAGGTAAATTATATTTCCCCGAAAGAGCCTGCATCGAGAGAGAAGTGGATAGAACATATCGAGAGAGAAAACTTTCTAACGAGTGCGGCACACTTTGAAGGTGCTTCATCGTTCACATAACTTTTCTTCCCAACTGTTTTTGCTTTGACTGTGCATTTGAGTTGTTGCTGTAGATATAATTCAAGTGCGAGTCACGAGACGAGGAATCGAAATTTTAATTGTAAGGTACTGAATTTGGAGTGATCATTTCCAAAGTTTTACGATGAAAATGTAATACGACCAGTCTCCATAACTGTTTTTGAGTATTTAATTCATGGTCATGACACATACTAGACATACAAATTGCCGTTATTTCTACATATACAACATGTAACATGTAGGTGTATATATTGATACCAGGAGTAGAAACCTCACGAAGCATTTTATTTCATTTTACTTCTAGGCTAGACATCACTTATCAATTTTCGATCGAGTTTTTATTTTCGATTCACCAGGAATGGTGTTATTTCCCGTGACGTTACTAACTGTCAAAAAAGTTCCAGAACTACGACATATAAGGCTGGATAAGTTATAAGTCCAGTTAACTTATAAGTGATCGGTGTATCAGGGTCTTAATTAACGGAGCTTGAGTTATTTTTGCCAGGTAAAAAACCTCCTTTAAGGTGGCTCAAAACAGTTTCCAGCACTTAGATTTTGATGGGTCGTTGTAGCCACTCTTTATCACTTGATGCTACAATCATGGTATCAAAAAACTGCTCAATCATTGGTGAACACGTTGTTACCATTTTCGTGACGCAATAGGTTACCATAGCAACAGTATGACCTCCTAAAAACACCCTTAATTACAGCTTTAGGGGCTTATAATTCAAAAACGGCACGGTGAAATTTCAGTATTTGTATTATCAACTTTTGGTAAGCATGGTAAGACGCAACATTTGGCAAAGTTTAAAAAACTTTTGTAGGTAGGGTTCAGAGCCACCCTAAATTTCTCTCAACTGAGATTCCACTGCAGTAAACAACAGGGACGTACGTTCCACGTGACCACGGTCGCTAACAGCACTGGTGAAGCTGTGGTCCAGTACTTCAGCGGTCAGACGGATGTCCAGCTTGACGCCTATGGCTCGTTTCTTAGAATGGAGGACGACAAAATTAGCAGGAGTTTGCAATGGTACGAAGTATTTCTTTGGCAAATGGGGGCATGCTCGAGATCAAGACAGACTTTTCCATTACGCTGCTTTTTTACAGAGTTCATTTCACTGGATGTTGGATCGGAATAACCAGTCAGATTGGCCATGGATGTGCGATGACGCGAGCACGAGCCGGGTTGCAGTGTCCTCTGGGTGATTTCTGGAAAGTCTTTGTTCGACAAGACGTTTGTACACCGATCAATTATCACATGTACAAAGATATAAAAATAATTATAAGGTTTTCGGTAGCAAATTTAGTTCTGGGCGTATTTAAGGACTTTTAGACAGTTTACGTTAATAAACACGGGGAAATAACACCACAGTTAGCGAATTGAAAATAAAACTTCGATTGGAAATTGAAAGAGCAATTTCTAAATTAGAAATAAAATGAAATAAAATAAAACAAAATTCTTCTTCATATTTCTGTACCTTGTTGTCAATACATATATAGAGATCATAATAATTTGCAAGTTTAGTATCAATCATGAATTAAACTGTCAAAAAGCGTTCTAGAGACTGGTTGGTAACAGTGGTTTGTTGTCGTATTGACATTAATACGCAAGTGGTGGAACTAAAAACCGATCGACAAAAATGCAGTGCCATACATTAAATTCAGATCAGCCCAGGTTAACAGGAACCTGCAAAAAGCTTGCAGTTTAAATGGGCGAATATTGAGTATTTTCTTTCCCATCTCCAAAGTAAGAACTTTCGGTATTGTCGATTTAAAAGTGACTGCGATAATAATTACAATCCAAAAGGTGCTGTCGGCGGTAATAGGAAGTTTGAGGCCCGGTCCACACGTATCCGGATACTTTTGAATCCGCAACTTTTTCTTTCCGGATACGGCTTTCGTCCACAAAAACCTCAGAAGGAAAGGTAATTTTTAATTTTGGAATATGACTACGTCACATGAAAACCAAGAATAGCGGGCTTTTTGCCAATGACCATAGAATCCCTCAGTATAGAGCGTATGCACTCATGTGTCCAGCAGCCATGGAAATTTATTGGAACAAAAGAAAGTGTTTACATAAGAAGAGTTCAACTCCCACAGGACTGGTTTTGTACACCAACATGGCCGCCGTTTCATTGTTTTGGAACACCAATATGGCTGCCATGACGTCATGTGCATACGCTCTTTTGCACACCACTGCAACATCAGAATAAATGAGTTTATTCACTCGACTCAAGTGCTAGTGAATCTAAACAAAAAACTAAATTGAATAGGTTGCCGTTGGAAGCTTCGACTAAAAACACACGGAACCTTATAAAAATAGTTCTGATTGTTACAAAAATACCTTCCGAATATTTTCGGCTTTACACTCTAAAGTGACGCTTACTCCATAGTTTTTACAAATTCAAACGTTTCTCAGTTTTAGTACAATTTAGTCTTGATACAAAATATCGAGCGCCTGAAGAGCTTAGTTTTTTAAACCTACTTTTACAAACATCTACACTGTTGTAGCTGTACATAATTACACGGTGTTTCAAATTAAATTTTTGAAGACAGAGTAGAATAGAATTAACATCTTTCTTTCTTTCAGGTCCGAATCTTTGCACTGAAAACTGAAAAAAAAAAATCAAAATTTCAGTACCAAAAACAACATCTTAGGCATCAATTCCACTTAGCATTAAGTAACAATTGTATAACATCTTTCTTGCATTGCAAACAGTAATTACCTCAACATTACAATCTCATTCACGGTTTTCTCTGCCCTGTTTTTTCATCTTTATCTTTGAACTTGGAAGCTGAAAGAGAAGAAATCAACGGTTGGTATTGTACCAAAACACTACCGTGACCCGTGGTGTGGATTTTTCTCATCGTCCCAACCCCCAATTTTTTTAATGACGTTTCATATGCTTAACTCGCAGAGACGTGCATGTTTTCCAAGAAGCGAGATACCTACCTACAGTTTGATACAGGGCAACACGAGCAGCAACAGAACCCATATTGGAAGATTCCACCTGGATGACCAATCAGAGTTGAAGTGTTAGGATCACGTGATAAGTGCACACTGGACAAGAGACAGGGGACATGCAAAGGTCACAGGTTTATCTACAATCCCAGACAAACGAGTTGGGACACGGAGCAAGTTCTCCCCTCCCCCCACTTTCAATGTTGATAATCAGGTGATTTTCCCCTTTTTTGTTGGAGAAAACGCGATATTTTCCAACATTGATTAGGGGGGAAGGGG